GTAGGCCGTGTACACATCCCTCACAAAACACATACCATTCTAGATTAGACAATCTCCAACATACCAACGGCATTCCAGATATGTTTTCGAATCCCTTGATAGGTGATTTGAACATCCGTGACAGCGTTAGTGGTGAGCCTGACATGATCAGATACACAAAACATGTTTGTTCCTCGTGGCGATGTTATATATGTTTGCCAAATATTGTACTAGCTGTTTGGCATTATCGGATTTTATTTCTTGCATATTTACATTTTATCATGATTATGTTTAGGCTTACGCCGGAACTGTTAAGGACTTTGGGTCTAACGCCATTCCAGTCTAGTAAATTCGAGGTGACGTTCTGACTTTGACGAACATGCAGTCATCAACCGCTCTTATTATTATAACTCACATGCGCATGAGAACACAATGAGCATTCAGGCTAAACGTGAAGCAATTATTATTTGGATATTATTGAAGGATACATTAGAGCGGCAGTTTCAGACTTTTGTGCTGTAGATAACATTTCGGTGAGTCTAAAAGCGGCAGCTGACAATCAGTATGCCTGAGATTTTTGGAAAGGCACTTCAGACTGATTTTTTCAAGCGCGAAATTATTTCCGACTTCAGCAACTTCATAATCCAGAATCCCAAAACCAGTCACTCCAGTAGTCAGAAACCAAGGGGTAATGTAATTGGAATGTAATTGGTATAGTGAGGATTGTCTAATCTAGAATGGTATGTGTTTTGTGAGGGATGTGTACACGGCCTACTCGATGGTGATCTGGAACAGATGAATAACTGGATGCTTTCAGCTAGGATGGACCCAGTAAAACTACTGAGGTTAGAAAAAATGTTGAGGGCTCGCGAAAATATTTATCAGTGCATCCAAACTGATCGACGAAACCACACACAGAAGACACTTGATTACGTATACCGATTCATCCCATCGTAACAGTTAGCAATGTCTTTAAGAAATGAGAACTGAATTCGCTTCAGAGAAAACGTTTGATATGGAAAGCAAGACGTTACATAGGATGATCAGATCTGCATGGCTAAAATTCGCTGTCTCCATTGAATGCTCCAGAGTTGATAACTCCTCACCTTCCTAATGTTTTAAACGATGAATTTTAGTTGTCTCAGTTTCCGAATGCTCAGGTTCAATGATCGTGTGTTAATAAATCAACTGTTTTATATGACAGTCCATGAAATGCAACTAAATTACTCAAGTTAGATGCCTTTGACCTTGATACTGTTCATTAATTGTTGGACATCCAGAAACCTACTTTCTTGACGATTTGACCAAGGCTCAATGATAGTTCGCTTGCCATGCGCACAAAGATCGTTTCCAGGAATCAAATGGTACTCTAGAGAGTTTGAAGTTCATCCCCAACAAAGAATAATACTAATAATTCTACTTCCAGTCATAGACAAAATTCTCGAGTATGTCACAAATAACTTATTCAGTGGGACTTCAAACGATCTGATTAAGCCAGTAGATGAAGTTATACTAAGGATACATAAACTCAGTTGTTCTAATACTACGATTTCTTTGACGTCGAGTTTAAGATTAAATGGGTTTCGAAGTTACTGCGTGTTATTAACTGTAATTTTTTTCGACCCTTGAAAATAAAGATATGGTATAAATAGATTACTGACACAAAATGATAAAGTATGAGTGCAGTAAGCAGTTTGCGGTCATTCAAATGAATAGTTACTGGATTTTTCGTGAATTAAATACTGTTTGCGTTGATAAAGTACTATAACTCAAATTACCTGAGACTAGAGAGGAAGTTACTTCGATTTCTTCACATTTCATACTTTTAGAAAACATATTTTAAATAATCTGTTTTCGTTTTGCAGTAGAAACTAGAAATTAATATGACTATTGTTGTGTGTTGATTAAAACTCTTTACGAAAGAGTTTGCTGTTCTTATCCCTACTTTGAAATTCTAGTCACAAAACGTTGACCAGTTTCCAACAAATTGTCTGGGTCAAAGATAAATAGTGCGACGTCATGAATCAGTGCCATAACATAAGTGCTTTGAGCAAGCTGACTGCTTTTCGAACTCTGCTTAAGTTCAATCCATCACTGTCTGGTCGTCAGCAATCAATTACTGACACATGTCATACTTCATAGAAAGCATCCGCGACTCTTGCTCCTCATGGCATTAAGACCTTGAACATTCAGCCTTGCGCTCGAACGCCTAACCTCCTGACTAGTGAGCATTGACCGGCAATCTAGAACGAAAATTTTAATAAGCCCTGCTTTTTCGGTTGTATCCTGTTGCTATTCATTCTCTTGATGTTTGTCTTCAATTTACCGTGCATTGTATCCTTTGAAGTTGGGAATTCTTAGTCAGAAAATTCCTCACAACACACCTGGGTGATTTCTGTAATTTGTGTGCTATTCACCTCCAGTACCTTTTACAAATTTATTCCTCGGCTGCGAGCTGAATTATTCATTGCCACAGGTTGTTGCTGATAGTGTCTAGCCAACGGATTAGGGGTATGTTGAACATACATCTGATTTTGCATACTTTTATCATTTGTATGACATTTGCAATGGCTTTCAAAGTTTCAGATCTGTGCAACAGAAATGTCTTAACGTTCGCATTTCAAAATTCCTCCAGTAGTCTTTTTAAGGTTATTACCGGTCCCTGACCGGGAAACTGGGTTGATAACTCCCTTCCATGGAAAGAAACGTCGTTAGGAAAACACTAACCAGAGAAATGCATCACTCACAACCAAGTTTATTATTGTTCGAAGTCAGCCTAGCCTTTGAACTAATCTAGCCTAAGAACTAATTAACTTGTTCAAGATCTGTTGCTACACCTGGAAAGGTATTAACCGGCAAATGTTCATCACTCCACGGTCGTCTCCTTGTCCAACCTGAGAACTGACCGTATAAAAACTAAGACGATTGACTATTTAACACCTACTCGTTTACTTACTAAACAATATTCACTTGCTCCAATGGTTATGATGAGTGTCGTTTGAATTAGGATTTCAAAATAAACTTCCTAGCATACATTCTAAATCTCTGAATATTTCCCACCGTTTTCGGACTAACAGCTATTTTGTCTGGGTACATGTGAAGTTACAAGATGAAATTCAACACTCCTATACCAGTGTTTTATAAGTAGAGGCTGTTTGTGGTTAGGTTTTATTCAACACTTATCTATCTGTCACCTAAGCACATTAAGGAAGCAGGATAGCCTAACCACTAGGTTAATTTCAGCCAGATGAATCATGAGTATGGGAAATATCCCGATTTGCTGTTATCACCAATAGGCATTCCTCCCATTCAACCAGCCTCATTATACGTACTGTAACAGAAATGTTGACATACAAACTCACAACCAACTGACTAGAATTAGACAGTCGAGTGGCTAGATCTCCATCCATTGGACATTACCGAACACCTGGAACCGTACCGAAAGAACAAGAATCGAGAGCGAAAAAATCAAATTGGTTTACACTAGCTCGTGAAAAAGATATTGGAAACCTGCCCCAGTACTTCTAAAATACTAAATGAACAGTGAGTTGCTTTTCGAAACTGTATTGCGGTGTTTATTTTATAAGAATTTGAGCATTAAACATAACGCTTTGTGAACATCCACTATAACCGTGTGGGCTATAGTCGCTTGCTTACTTTTGATTTTCCACATTTGAATTTGTTAGTATATCTCTCAGAGTTGGGCAATGTCCATCATTGATTTACACCAACTCCAGGATCTGAACCTGCGAATCATGACTAACTAACACACGGAAACAAAACGAATCCATTTTTATGACAGTGCTGCTTTTTCTATAGATCCCTTGAGTCAGAAAGTAATATGCAATGTGTAAGTCACTGGGTGATTTGGGTGGTCCGTGTATCAACGCACGGTCAAACAACATAATGGACACAACCTAAAAGTCTTCCTCCAGGTTAAAGACCTATAATATCACCACACACATCTGTCAGGGCTATTTCTAGGATGTTATTAATGGCAAAGTTGAAGAGAGATGATAACAGACAGTCGCTTTTTAACCCCGTCATAATAAAATTGATTCGGTCAAAACCCCCGTCTATCTTGATTCACAAACCCTATTATCAAGGTATAAAAAGAGTGCCGGTCTGAAATTAGTGTAGTGACTTTCTAATAGTTGGTGGAGAGCGAAGATGTAGTCAACACATTTAAAATCTAGATAAAAGACGGCCCGTGTCTTGCGAGCTCTGCACAATTTTCCCAGTCAACTAGTTGAAAGGTCAATAAGAGACAACTGTTATAAAAGTTACATACTCTCATTTGCGAATATACAAGTGACATTATATCATTTTCATGACACCATAAAAACGCGATCAGTGTTTATCTAGACTCTTCGGCAAATTTGCAGCTGGCCTTCAGTGTGGCGCAGTTCAACATTTCGTTGGAACGGAAGCTGTACCATTAATCTGTTCACAACGGTAAATAAGTTGAGTATCAAAGTGAAGTTTAGGCTTTGCTAAAGGATGATCAAAACATAAATATGTAGTCAAAATTTAGTGGTAAAAGACAACATTGGCAGATAGCATTATAACCTATCTGAATTCAGGCTTCAGTATACGAGGGTAAGACAACAAATGAAAAAGACTGACAATCAATTCCTCCTGCAATTACGTGTAAATCACAATCATTATCTGTCAAGTACCGAAATTTAGCATTAATGTGGACTCGTCTTTTGATAGTCAAGTAATTTATAAGTGTGTGGAATTATTTTTGAAATAAAAAACTAGTCGACGTGAGTAAAAAATAGTTGCTTGGTACTGCATCGTGGTAACGAGTAACGGGAATAGACGTGAATAACGTTAGTCCAGTCAGTGTGAGGAGCAACGTCACTAACCTGATTTAAACTCCGGAAGCTTACTTTTCATAGTTTCGTGAAAACAACCCCTTCGTGTAAAGCGACATCTCAAACCACGTGTAATATGAAATTTTTACTGTCTTTAACCATTATTATACTATCTACAGCCCCAATAATCAAAATTTTGTGAAGAAATTATTGAATATTTTACTAGTGCTTACAAAATGTATACCATTAGTTGATAAAAATGCAATATTACAATTTTTCATAAACTGATTTATAATCACATTCAATACAACATTTATAGTATATATCTGATAGAGGATCATATTTCTCTGGTCCGAATGCATGTTCATGGGATTTATGCACTTTCGTATATAAGCTACTGCGTGTTTGAAGTTTAAGTTCTAAAATAAATGAAGGGAACTGATTATAGTAAATACCTACAGCACTAAACAAAAAGCATTTATATTCGACAAATTAATTTTAAGACTTGATTCGTCAAACGATCGAAAGAGATCACCCAATAAGGACTACATAAAATTGCTAGTGTTCGTTAATGAACAATCATCTATAAATATACAATATTAACATTGATTAATTAGGAATAAAGATGGTCGACTACCAAAAAATCTATTCCATTGTCGTATTTCTTATCCAAGTTGTGAAGCTACTTTTTGACTCTCAGTATACTTCAACGTATTGACGGTGTCTTTACTCTTAGGCCGCTTTTACTTGCAGCTTAGTAAGATGACAGTACTTGGTGTTACAGTTATATAAATGGATAGTAGAGCTTTAAATGAAAAACATATTAAAACAACTGGACTACTGAATTTGTAAATGGAAACTAAATCTGATATACATTTAGAAATAAATAAATATCGGGTAGTTGGAAGCTACGAATAGGGAGACCTAAAGCTAAGTTTCAGCTGATTGATAAACAGCAGTAAATAATACTTATAATATTTAGAGAACTTATATTATAAATCTTACGACTTAGTGCTGCAACCTGTAACATAAATTGGCAATCGATGTCAAGTAAAGTTGCAATGTTTGCATCATTATGTCACGCAGTAAAATAACCCTTATCAACTATAATCCTTAATCCCGAAGAAATTTGGACGACTAAGGTTTAATGTTAATTCAAACTATGGTAGTCGAGAAAACTGAGATCAAGGTTTTCTGTCAATCACCTTCAATCATTCGACATCGACTTCAACTCATATCACTCATCATAGTAACCAAGGTGCAACTTAATCAGTATAATATGATCTGTATATAGGAATAGACAACAAGAAAGTGGTGATTATTGTGTGAATAATCAGCTCAATTTATTTCTCCTAATGAATAAAAGAGTATTTTTTTAAACAAGTTAATAATCCTTAAAACTTACCTTTAACCTTTTTACTATAACTTTTAAGTTTTGATTCTTCATTGCGCTTCAAGCGCCTTTCACGTTCTTTTTCTAAAGCATCTTCACTACCCCATATTTCTAGAGCACGTTCAGCAATCTGAATTTTCGAGTAATAGAAGATAAAACATTTTTAACAATCTTTAAAATTGATTATTCATCATTTTATAACAACCTGAAGTACTAAAATGATTGAGATGGTTTGAAATCAAGTTGCTCACTATAACCAAACAAACATTGTTGAAGAATCAGATTACTTCACAAAACAGTGGAAGTTGAAAGGCCAGACATGAAACAGATCTGCTCTATGTGGTAAACACGGATATATAAACTCAGTGTTTAATAACAGTTGTCTATACTTTTACTTGATTCCCGTATGGGAAACAATTTGAAATGAGACGGGAATGAATAACAGTATTTCTAAATCAATTAATTATTCGAACATAGCATTATGCTAATTCAGCTGGTTGATCTGATGATGTAAAAAAATTACTAAGTACAAAAACTCAAGTACTTAACTTTGGCCTATATTTTCTGTGGAGGCTAGTAATAGTATTCAGGTATTCAAAAAGAAATAGGTAGAGAGAAGCAAGAACTTGCTACTTGGTGGGTAAAAGTTAAGCGCCTTAACCTCTAAGCCACCATTTAAAGTGGTTGATTTAATCGTTAAACAATGTTTTAGTTGTGATTTTACAAAACCCAGAACTTAAAAGTCCTAGTAATTTTTATACTATGAATGGTTTTTTAAGACCTAACCTCTTTCATTGGTTGATTCCGTATGAAAAGCAGATGAAGCTCTTGTTCAAAATTAGAAACTTTTTTTAGTAGATGAACTACATTCGATTAATGAAGGAATATTGAATAGCCGTCTTATCCTTGTTTTAAGACTCTTCAGCGGCTATAATTTAAAACCAAGCTCAGAGATGTTCACGTTAAAATTAAGTGATAAAATACGAGATCAGTAATTGATTGAGGGCTGAGATGAGTTAGATCCTCAATCAAAAGAAAGTCCAACCCAATAAGCTAGTTACAATTGCTTATCTTCACAAAAACACCATTTACAGCATAATCAAACAAACTTATCAAATGGTTTTTTTTCTACAAATATTTTTAATTTAGTGGCTTGATTCAAACACAGAATATGATGTCTGGTGTTACTATAATAATGGGTTAAGGATGAGTAGGATGTGAACACATACGAATAAAACTATTAAAAATTCTGTGATACATTTAATAACAAGTTTTTTAATGAAATTTATTGTTACTTGCGCTTCCAAATACAGTCTCATATCTCCCCAATTAGAATTGTGTGGATTACGTTTCAACAAATAGTTCAATTTCGGTTCACGTATATCCAAATCAACATCGTTTAACAAGTAACGTTCTTTTGCCGAACTCTTAGTAATTAAAGCATGAATATTTTTAGGGTCTCTACAAAAAAAAATTAGAATGAAATACGAGATTAAATAATAAATTGAATAAACAAAATAGTCACAGCATTTTGACATGATACTTAGAAGTTATATCTAACGTTATAATTTAAAATGGACAGTTATTAGTAGCATTCAAATGTCCTCATCCCATTGACAGTTATAAATAAAATATAAGAAACAATATTATACACCCATGTCGATCAAAATCAACATAGCGAGTTTTAGTCAATTTTACCAGGAATTCTGTAAAAGATACCACTATGTAGTGTCTGAATGGTCAGGAACTAATAATCCAATGGATACTATTTCATAAGAGTCAAAACTACAGGATGAGAGCTCATTCTAATGTATATTCTATCCTAAGCATTATATGATAAGAATAAGTTCCGTTTATTGGTTTAGAGTAAATTATCAATCGAATTACATTATTATTGAGTAAATAAATAATAGGGGAGCTTGTATACACAAACTGCCTAAAAGTCATGAATTTCAACAGCATATTCAAATCGTTCATGACCTGTTAAAAGACCTAAACATATGTACTAATTCTTCTTCCATGTTAATATCGCGAGAAGTGACTACAAACCTGGAAAAACTCATACGCTACGTCAAAGCTAGTAAATAATTAATTTTCTTCAACAATAAGTTTTTGATTTGACAGCCTGTATACTCATTGGCTAATAAGGGGATGTTTGACAACTGTTTATGTTTGGTCGTTGTCATCTCTGATGCACTGTCTGTTCCCATTGCCAAGATAATGTGCTTTGACATAGATAAAACCATCATGCAATATGTGCTACTGCATGGAAATATTTGTTTCAATGGTTTAGATTGTTTAGTCAAAAGAAATCGAAGTGGAACTCTATATCTGAGTATATACGGAAAGCCAACACACTTAAATCGTTCATTCCTAAATAATAGTTCGAATTAAATACTATGGATAGGTACCGTAGTTCTACTACACCGGCAAGGTACAACAGGACTCCAAAGTTTTAAAACAATACACCCTTTGTAACACTTCTGTTCGTATAAAGGAGAAGATCCCCATAACGAAAATGAATTTTTAAGAGCAAAGATTATGAGAATTAGTTTAACTTGTAGAGATCCACTTACCGACATCTATCACAAACATCTACTTCAAATGTTTTGCGTAAAAATGATTCTTCAAATTGTTTATGACATATATCACACGTTGGTTTCTCTTCATCAGGGGGAATAGGTACATCGGAATCAGTTAGGAAAAGATTTGGTTCAGTATTTGGTGGTTTTACGCACTTTTGTTTACGTTTCTTAGGTTTAACAGTTGCATTTAATTCTGGATCAGAAAATTCTTCATCCTTTTCCGTATAAGGATAATTATGACTAGAAATTTCTTCTTCAAGAATGAAACCTCCATTACTTAAGCATTTTGTATTTAATTTGGACTGTGGGACTGATGCATAAACATCGTGGCTTGGAAAAATGCAACAAAAGACAATAGCAAAGATTATATAACAAATTTGATATGTAGCATTCAAGAAGTTAATGTAAAGTTGGATAGTTAGACAATCGTAATAACCAACTTGTCTATCTTTATGGGTGTACTTCATCGTGTGATTGCAGGCGTAACACAAATAATACTGTGGTGTACGCTACTTATCTTCAAATAAGTAGTATACGATATCAAATGGAAATCAAACGTCTGACAGCAAAATATCGAGAAGGAAAGAATGAAACAGAAGGTGATTTGTAGGTAACGTAAAGTGAACTGAAGTCTGAACAGTCCAAATGAAAGAACACTGAAATCTGAAACAAATGAGGATTAGTTTACAAATGATGATTCACGGGAAGGTTTTGTAAATATGCCTAACAACTCTGTAATATTCGCTTAAATATATTGTTGATGTCCTCACCTGGGTTTTCGTGCACAACAGTGGCCTTCCTGAAGGAGTTCGAGGCCATGGCGGAGCTAGCCGGATGGAAGCAGGAGAAGACGGTGGCTTTAGAATTGCTGCTCCGCGGCCGAGCCGAGGCTGTGTACGACAGCCTGGATGGCGAGGTGAGGACATGGAAGGCGGTCAAGGATCGGCTTGTCGCGGAGTTTGGTAGCCCAGTGGATATGTAGGAGGCACTTCAGAAGTTCAGTATGGTGAAGTTGTCGGCGGATGGAGACCCACTGGTGCTGGCAGTCGGGTTGATCAAGTTGTTACGTCGCGCGCTGCCGAGTCTGGATGAGGAATCTGAAGCTCAGCTGTTGGCATCGCAGTTCATCGAGAGCGTTCCAGACGCCATTTCCCAGCACCTGAAGTTGGTTAGCGCCGCACAACCGATGTGTATATATCAATTGGCGAAAGTGACTCGAAGACACCTACGATCGAAAACCAGTAACCTACGAGTATCTTCTACTCTCATTGGCCATGTTTCACAGCCATAAAGTAAGACGGAGCGAACAACTGCACAGTACACTCGTCCTTTAGTCAGCAAACGGATATCTCGCCTTCGCCATAAGTGACGCAGGTTGGCAAAAGCCAATCGAGCCTTCTGTATCCGAGCTGAGATTTCGTCAGTCACCAGGCCATCGGCACTGATGAGACTCCCAAGATAAGTGAGGCGGTCTGCACTTTCGACTACTTCACTCCCTATCACTAGTTCAGATTCTCGAAATGTATACAGTCGTGAATAGTAACCATGAATGTCCCTGGTGGATCACATTATATTACGTAGCTATCTATAACAGATCGTCATAATACCCTAAACTATTGAGTTCTTTGACAATGCGTTGATCAAAGGACAAATTATGATAAAAAATAAAGAAACGAACAAAAATGCTTGATATATATTCTCTAAAAGAATGGCTATTCCCAAAACCTCATCAAAAAATATCAACTGAAACCGCCAACTGAAGCGAAATAAAGTACAGGAACGAACAAAAGGATCATCCTACCATACAAAAAAGACATATAGGAAATTACAGCACGACTACTGAAACCAATCGGAATAGGTGTAGCATAAGAACCCTCAGAATCACTTCAATTGATCCTATATAAACCAAAAAACAAAGCGACAAAAAAAACCAAACATCATCTACAAAATAAATTGTGTAGACTGAGGAAAATACTACATCGGACACAGTGGATGTCCTCTTTAGCTTCGTCTATGTGAACACCAACTAGCAATTAAACGCCATGACATTTCTCCCGTTATATCAATACATGCAGACAACAATGGACGTACATTCGTTTGGAAAATTTTGAAATACTGGAGAAAGAAAGTACAAGGAACACTAGCGAATTTTTAGAAGCTTGGCGCTCAGGTTAATCAGCAATCAACAGACACATGGACACCAATTAAATTCATCAACCAATCGGAAAAACCATAGACAATTATATGATCAGCAGCCAAATCAGAGGGAATACAATGAAAATGAAGATGCAGACAATGACAGGTTTAAGGTCAATAACAACCAGCACAAGCTACGAGTCATATGTGTAGAAATTCGAATACTTTCCTTCTCTCTGAAGTTTGTACTGATGTTGTTCAGAAGATCCATTCAGCTCAAAGAACGAAACAACATTACAAACATCCACCTGAGCTACAAATTCTCTCCATCATCTCAACGAAACTCCAGCACAATGCAGATTTGTCTTAATCTACAGTAATCAATTATACTCTATCTAAAAGTACGTTTATCAATAGTGAAGAGTTGAAAAGATGTTCCATTAGTTAGTTTTGTTTACACGAGACTAATATTGGTGAAGTATAACAGAATAATCATATATTTAGGATGAAATACTAATCAACCATTAAAATGGATTTAAAATTCTTCTTATCATTGACAGAGTAAACATAAAGTCAGTTTTAAGAAATGAATTATTTGTTAGTAACCGCCCTATTATGTATATTCATAAAAAGAAGCACACAATTCGATTAATTTTAATGCATACCGATCATTTGCAACAACTTGTGACAGTTTAAGATCTAAGGCACGTTTTCGATTTTGTTCAATTCGTAAATGTTCTGCTTCTGTAAGTTCATCCATTCACTAATCAACTCACATGGAGAATGTATTCTGAAAACGATAATAAAAGATCTATTATGAGAACACATGCGTTATAAGTTACCAAAGAATTAATTAGTCAGTGAGCTACTCATTCATACAAATGCTGCTAAACAATTATTAAATATATATGTTCATAAAATGGTATGTTAAATGATGCGCCAACGTATTTCATACATAATCCGATGGAAAGAAAAAACAATTAAATTAATATGTAATTAATAGTAGAGTATCGTAACCAATCAATAAAATATCAGCCTATTATTATTTTATCGTCAAACGCCAATAAATCTCCTTAACAAAGTCAAGCTATAAAAGACTTTGTGGATGCGTAGTGTTAAGAAGTTTTTAAACAGAAAAATCAAACTCAGATCTATTAATTTAAAATGGTTATTTTCAGTTGATACTAGTTCGCAATGGGAAAATAATTCAATTTACAGTCAACAGAATCTAAAAAGGTATATGTTTGAAAGGATCTACAGTTACATTGGAAATCAGTAATAATGTAACGTAAATAATGTTTGATAAATTAGTCACTTATATAGTTCTGTATTACAATCGGTGAATCCCATTACATAACAAGTGAACTGTTTGGTAACAAATTAGAGAGAAAACAAAACCCAGTCAATAAAATTTAACTAAAATGAATTTGATAAGGAAGTTTACAACAAATCAAGGATTCATAGTCATGAAACACAAAAGTGAATGTTTAGGAGCTATTAAAATAGAAGCAGTTTATGTGGTTAACATCAATTCAGTCATTTAAACACTTAAAACTGGATCTAATTCAGTCCATAAAATAGGTAAATAATATAGAATACATGGAACATTGCTGGCAGCGCAATATACGACACGCGTTTCGTCTGTTTAGTACTTGTCAACTGGATATATTTGCATCCCAGAGTTGCTGTTCACTCTGGGACTTGAACTCAGTCCTGGAGGATAAAAGCAAGTCGGTAACTAGGTAGGCACTGATGTAGTTAGCTTTTTGTTAAACATGGTATGCACCGACTAGAGATACAATTTAATCATCTAAATCGAAGTAAATGAGATTAAATTTAGGCCCAAAACTTAAAATCTTAAAATATCTGGACAGTGAGACACACAACTCAAAAATTCAGAACGTGTAACCATTTGTGACGAGTCAGTCCACTTAGTTCGATCTTAGCGTAAATTGATACATTCAGATTTAGTGAATACTTTAATTAGCTAAGCAGTATCAGTACTGAAAATTATTCACATTTCGATGAGTATTAAAATGAAAAACTGAAGGTTTTTACAAGAATTGAAAACAATGGAAGACAATTTATTCCATTAATAGAGGAGCTTAAGGTCAGTAAGAACGTAGTATCTCCCTGCAACGAGAGTAGATAGAAACCACAAACTAATACCAAGTGATGAATTCGTTGATTTCGGCATAATTTAATTGCATATCATCCCATCAAAATACATTATTTCTTAAAAAATTGGTTTATATAATGTTAGAAAATTTTTCTATATCTTTATTAATTCTCCACTGTACAAACAACAAGTTTAATTTGATATATGATATGATCCAACAGCTTACTATTCAAAGCACTCGGGTTTCAACGATTAGGATGTAGGTTTCATGAGCACTCTGCACTACAAGCTTTCATACAATAAGTGGTTGAAACATAAAATATATGAACTCGTACTTTGTCAGTGAGTTTGATCTGCGACATGCCTAAAAGTAATAATGTACTGGTAGTTTTAAGACTTGTGTTCTCTCGCTAAAAATGACTAGGTTTAAACTTCCTAATACTAAAATATTTTGAGATATCTATGGTGTTTAGACTATTTTGTGTGTGGTATTCTAGAGGTAAAAACACATTCAATATTCTGGTCATAAAATCTGCTTGGTCTCCTTGTATACACAATGAGTTCGTTTACTTAAGGCAACTATGGGTTAGCTGAATTTATTTTTTCCGTGAAGTTTAAAGGATTATCAATGTCGCATTGTAAAATCGCTTTACACTTTCATATTGTTCATGGCATTGACTGTTTCTCATTGTATCTGCTTACTTTGAAGTAACCTGGAAATCGTGTTTTTTGGAAAGTGGGAACTTTAGTTTATTATTACCCAGCAAATTTTTCAACTTAATTATGCCTGAAAAGTATCGCTTATTCTATACCCATTGTCAGAATATATTATTATTGACTATCAAAGAAAGCATTATTAATTTTAAGAAAATAAAAAGATGACTGATAGGTTTAAATAAAAAAAATCGAATACCATCTTTACATTGTTACTATTATTATTAATGCCACAATAACAACCGTAATAGTTACATCATCTTTCTTAATTTATTGAACAAATATGCAAACACCACCAGAAATGACGTCACACTTTCGAAATACAGGGTATAGATGAATAAGGTACTAATAATTGGTCACAAATAAGGTGAGTTTTCCCATTTGATATTGACTGAATACAATTTAAATTTAGATAAATTGGTTCTATTGGAGAATCTATATCTAAAATTACTGTATATGAAATGATTTACAGTTCTATTTAATCGTACATCCCAAAGTAAATGGGCCAGGTTTAAGAGTGAGACTGAAGTTCTTGCAACTCAACAGCCCGTAAATAATTTAGGTGAACAGTAGAAAACGAAAACATACTGAACACTAAATAAATAATGAGAAAACACCGATATTAAAAAATATATATTTTATTGGTGTTAAAATAAACTATACAAAACTTTTTACATTAACTATTTACGAGTCATAACATCAACACTCAATGATCGACGATTTGAAAAGTTCTTATGTGATCTTCGATTAAGCTGTACAGTTTCAGTATCGTGTAGTAATGTAGAACGTAATGACAATTGTTGTTGGCAGTCAACATATTGCTTTACTAATTTGTGATATTCACTATCTTTCCCATCATATGTTGTAAGCAATGTTTCTAATTCCCTCACCTCTGTTTGCAAAACACAACGCGAATTAGCAAGTTCGGTGCTACATAATAAAAATATGGAAAAAGGTAGTAAAATGTACTTCTAAGATAGGGGATCGTTATTATATTTTGTCGGACATTCAATAAATTCAATCCATAAACCATTAACAATATATTTATTGTTGAAGACAATGGGTGACATGACACTTCATTCTTATACATATTTTGAAATTTGTATCAGCCCATACTTTCCGCATTTGGGTACAATTCTTTTTAACTATATTTATTACATTTAACTTTCTATTACGGTATATATTATCACTATACTTTAAGTATTTGATTTCCACTCTAGTTAAGTTGTTTTGAAATGTGATAGTCTGAAATGATGTATTCGTGCTACGCACTATTTATTTTCACTGATATACACCACATTATATATGACCATTTATCTAGGGTCATATTATTATTACTTCCACTATTATTATTATTATTATAATTATAATCAATACCATTGTCTAATTCATCTACAAAACTAAGTCCATGAAAAATTGCGCTTTTATTGATGGTTGATGACACTAGGTAGCTGTTGAAAACTGAAGTGAATGAACTGGTTACAAGCTTAAACATACATGAATGTCGTGCATGATTCTCAACCGATGAAATAGACTGATATTGTTCATTGACCTAGAAGTTCCGCTTTGAAGTCAGATTAATCAATCTATAGGCTCATATAAATAAAACTCTTAAGAAGCAACTTGAACAGAAGTCACAATAATATATATATATATATATATATATATATATATATATATATTGAATGTGTAATTTCAATCTCTTAAGTCATTACATTTACAAACCCCAGTTAATTAGATGTGGGTTGATGGCTATTTCTTGAAAATAAAGTTGATAAAACACTGTATCAAATGTTAAGCACCAGATTATTATCTCCCTTGACTTGCAGACAACGATAAGTTATGTTATTTTTATAGAGATTCGATTACAGTGAGGACTAATTTATTCACTAATTGATAATGACACTAGGGAGGGTTTTAGAGTGACTGAAATAATTTACTAATATATGAGTAACAATAACAAAATTAATGATGATGGTACTTGGATAAAAGAAAACATACTGAAGTTTCTTCAAAATATCCAAGGTTTCTGAAGGTTGTGAAGCGGAATATTCAATTGATTTTTGCAAAGTTTTGACGCGCAGAAGTAAGGCTTTGACTTGTTCATTTAAAACTGTCAAGGTTTGACGACTCATTCGTGGCCGAACCTCGTGTCGATATTCTCGAAATAAACGGGAAGATGTACTGTACATCCTCGATACGATCTAAAAATATTCAATTGAAAAAAAGTGATCTCAGCTAAAGATATGACACATGGTAGGACGTAAACAACAGCCAAGTTTTCTGATAATTAAAAATAATTGGTATTACTCAAATAACTTCATAGTAGTCTATAAAACAATTATAATGCATCTACAACAACTGCAGCGACTTAATATGTAAGTAGGAGTAGACTGATAGTGAAGTGGTAAAATGATTAATGTGAAAACTCAGAAACATAGATTATTTCTACCAGTGCAGCTCAATTGCTGCGGCAGGTATGTATGGGTGAATGACACTTCCTAGGTCAGCAGAAATAACCCAGAAGGGAAAAAAAACTATTGTTTATGTTTTTTATCAACCTGACGGATGAAAGTAATCCTAGTGGATTCTTTATTGGTAATAACTCAGTAATGTTGGAACTAGTTAGAAGGGGTTGTAAGCTTATAGTCTAACAATGAAGCCGATGACATTCGAGTTGGAGTTGAGTCTTTTTGCCTATTTCAACTCTTGACACGACGTTTTAGAGGCTGTTGGATTCGAAACTGAATCCAGTACGGATTACGTTGAAGTTGCCACTGTTTTTATTTTAACTTGTAAAAGTAAAAATACCTCTAAATAACTGCAATAAAAAAGTAAGTAGAAAAATTTTAGGAAAACTGATTTTAATTAACTACTTCTGTAAATGATGCCTGTAACCTTCTAAGCTCTGTAGCAAGTTCGGTTTCTTTTCTTTGAAGTTTTCTAATTGCGTCTGAACGATTACCTTGAGATTGATCTGAAGTATATTACTAAAAAATGATAGCTAACCTTCATTATGGTCACCAAACAATCCCAGTCTCTCATTTAGCTTCTTCTCCATCCGTGTATGCAATAGTGAAACGATATTATTCATAATTTCTTTTTCATATTTCTCTTTACTGCAAAAACATACTTCCTTTATGCCCTTGGAAATATGACATTCAGTCCATATCCTAGCCATTGTGCAATAAAGATCATTTTCATTGCCGGTCAACAAGTTAAGTTCATATTCGTAAGCCAAATCAAGGATGATCTCTCTAATTATTTCATACTCAACAAGTTTAGAATAGTATCCCAAATGACTTGAAGATAGGGTCTGGTAACGCTTGTAAACATTCAGAAGATCCCATGATTACCTTAAGAGTTTTATGTTCATCTGGATCATAACCTTGAGATTTCAAGATTTGCAACTCCGCACAGAGTGGACTGAGAAGCATTGAGAAGCTAACTAAAATATTGAAATACAAAAACGAGTGTCCAAACAATCTTAGGAAGATAATAAAATTAAGATTTATTCACTCTCAAAGCAGAAAGACAAGTGTATTTTGGATTTAATACTTAATACACTGATAACTTTTAGTTATATTTCTGTATAGCTTGAAACGGCACTATTTTATATGAGACCGTAAACCTTTGTATTTTAGAAAGACAAGAAATAACTAGCTGAATGCGGTGTAGAAAAATATAGAATTACTTCTGCAGTTGCTGACTACATAATTGTGCATTAGTTTTATGGGATACATGATTAACACTGGTGAATCTAGTAAAATAACGGGAATAAGATAGAAATAGGATTACAAAGTTGGGACGTTGTAGACAATGTAAATCGTATCAACATAGTTGGCAAGTGTAGACCAACGGGTTAGGGTCCGCGAGATGATAATAATGTATGGTTAGAGAACCTGAATAACATGGCTCAAAATCGTTTTCAATGGCGCACGTGCATTCATTAATTCCGTCCTCTCAAATCCTAAACTTCGAAGCTCCTCAACACCTTAATCTTTTCCTTTTTAAGTTTATTTCACTAGATTCTACTTCTTGGATAATATCGTCGAACCCTCATCTATCCGATTACTGCTAATTCTTTCCCTACCTCTGTTACTGTGGGATTTGAATTGACAATTGCGTCTCTGTGCTGTAGTATGGCAACTCGAACTGCTGTACGTACGTACGTACGGAGTTTAACGTTGTAACTGAATGCACTACCATAATGGACGAAAAGAACGTTCTTATTACCAATGAAGTTTTATGGCAACTAATCATGTGGAACAATTTAGCCATTGCTCGACTGTTTTAAGACTGGCGACATCTTTTATATCAGTCACAAAAGCTTTACCAAATTTAATAGGAAAATATTTTGCTTGACCACATAACTTAATTATGGAAGGTTATCCGACGTAAATAACGCACAAATTAGGTCTTAGTAGACGTCCAACGGAAGGTTAAAAATACAGCACTACTGTACATTGTTTTTTGATTGCTTTGGAACTATAACTCAGATAAAGTGCCGCATAGTTTCATACGTCAATTCCGTAAAGTTGTTTGATTTCGGCAGTGTTTGGGTGGATAGTGCACCAAATTAAATATTTTTAGAAGGCTTCTGTATCCATTTTTACTTTGTCAGAATATAATACAACGTGTATGTTGCCGTACTAAGTATTTGACGTTAGCTTTACCACTTACGAGAAAAGCCACGTAAGCAAAGCATCACGCCATGATAGGAAGTGTCGTGTTTGTGATAATAGGAGACTAAAAAGATCTACAAAAGAATACCTTACGGTTACACAGTGGACGTAAAACTGGACAGTATTTTAGAACTTAGTAGGTATGTGAAGGAGTAACTGATAAATCAACAAAGGTACACTATAAAAATAACTTTGGAGCTTGTATCAGTCAATTAATAAACTCAACCAAGTCAAAGAATAATTAAATGTAAGCAATAAATTACAGTGGGAAAGTTGCTTAATATGGTAGACAATTCCCTGTTAAATTACTCATTACCGTAAACTTCGTGTTTACATAATAATTTTAGGCTATTGCTATGCACAGCACGTATGTGCGACAACTCAAAGACATCTCTTATATACATTCTGGTATAGATTTATAGTCTAAAATTTTCCGTCAACTTCATTACTGGGTACAATGAATAGAAGGAGCCTCAGTAAACTTTGTTTCTATAGAAGAATAAGAAGCGATGGTGAACTGTTTTCAATAGTATTTCCTAGGTGACCTAAACCTGCAATTCACATCAACACTGATAACGGAAAAAGACCGCGGGAAAAATTTTAGGACACTACAACAAATTTTTGTGGCATATGTAATTCCTAAATTAGAGAACCTTGAAGTTCATATTTATTTTCCCATTTATGTTTGTGTTAGGATGTTCGTCATCAACTGAGGTCAGCTTTATAAACCCAAACCCAATTAAACAAGGATGAGAAATTAAAGGTGAACTTCGGGAAACATAAGTGAACTCGGTGGGAATGAAGACGAAACGCCTATTTGTACACCTACGTTAGACAATCCTAGCAAAAATTAGACTACATGTTGACGATGAAGGTATAAATTTATAGACGTTTCAGATCTTAGGCACTCAGGCGAAAAGTCTGATTATTTCCCAAAAACTAAGCCTAAACGTTGACACTGCACCAGAAAGTAGCCTGAATTTACACCGAACCCTCCTAGACAATATCACTTGAATTTTCCCAATCTTATCTAGTTAAATAGGTTTAAAGTATTATTCTTGAAGTGACGTACTGAATCTAAAGCTACCGATTTTGAGTTTTTTTGGATAAAGTTCTGGTTCTGAATAAAATTAAGGGGTTAAACCTCTAGCACAAGTACAGGTTTAGTGAAATCTTGAACAAAATAAAATGTAACCCTAACCATAACTTCTGATAGGTCTCCACTAAGCCTGAATATACTTCATGGGCTGGGGGAGAGTGAGGTTATCTGCAGCAAGAGAAAAAGCGAACCAACGACCTAGTCAGTACATTAAGTGAACTTACTTTTAACAAGTTAAAAAATCGACAGCAATCAGGAATAACACAAGCATGGGATTAAAAGAAACTAGGGATCGGAACTAGAAGCTGGTAGCGAACAGTTTCGAAAGCGTTGAAAAACTGTAACTCCAGCCTTTGGTTGGTTCGCATTTAGCCAGGAGGTACCTTTTGTGCTAGGGGGATGTGAGGAGCAGCGTATGAGATTATCTGGAAGAAAGAACATGAGAAAAAGATGAGCCGACGACTCAGTAAGCACATAGAATGTACTTACATGTAATTTAGGAATAAACAGACAGTGACCAGATATAAAGCCAGCGTGAGATTAAGACGAACTGATAAACGTAACTAGGAGTTGATAGAGTAAGGTTTCGAATGCGTTACAAAACTGCCGGTCGAAACTACCTCTCTTCGTTACACGACCTTGTGCTGCAAAAGTGACCGGGAATGTTTTATATTTGGATGAACCCAAATGTCACTTGTTGGCAGGTCGCATAACTTCCCGAACGTTTTCAACATTTTCTTAGTCCAATCATCTCTAGCAACCATATACCTCTTATATTTTTCACAACAAAATGAAATTTTTCCATCGTCTTTGATGTTTTCTAGCTCACGTAGTTTCCATACAGTTTCTGCTATATGGGGAGTTCAGTTTTTCCTCAGTGAGTTCAGTTTGGAAGAGATCGAAACGCGGTTCAATCAGTTCCAACGAGAGTTTCAGAATAATAAGGACCGCGTCGGAGTGAAAATCGGACGGCAACCCTAAAAACTTGGAGACCTCTTGGTCACCGATGGAATTTATCAATAAACAGGTATAAATTCTCTTGATAGATGTTAGCATTACTCTATTTTGGCATCCTCGGCAGCAAAAACCAAAGGTTAATATTAAATTACATGGGATCCTCCTGATGACTCACTCATTTTGGGATGATAATATTTGTATTTTATCATAGTCTCTATTTTTTGTGCCTTTTTTGAGTTTCTATCTTTCCTTCCGAAGTGCATTATGTTGTTTTAGCTGATACTCAATGATGGCAACAGCTATATTGATTTCGTTCCTCTGGCTGTTGGTACGCTCATATTGGCTGGAAGTGTGCTATTTGGATTGGACTTTGGAGCTCTCTTCCTGAACTGGAAGCATTGTTATTATTAAAGGAATGAGTGGTAATATTGTTTAAGTAATGATGAATATTTATATATATGATTAATAATAAAACCGTTACTTACCCAATCACTTGTTTTGATTTAAATTGAGCAAGAATCATATCTAAACTTCCTGAACAGTTATTCCTAAATCCGAAGCTCAGTTTGGATTCTACAGTTCTAAACAATATTTATTGATTGGAGTATTTTGGATCTTATAATTCTTAACAATATCATTCGATTGGAGTTCTGGAAGCTAAATCCTGCAAACTATGCACAAAACAGTATTTCTCGAATGAGTTATTTTCCGTAACACTACTTTGTGTTTGTGAACCCAGTCGAAAGATTAAAACGAACAGCGATTTGTAACCCGTTTATCAATGTATATCTCATACAATTTCTATCGTTTTATGTTATTAGGACTTATCTTTGCCCCCGTTTTGGTCCTTGTACATTATTTCTAGTTTCCTGAAGGCAGGTGAAAGACATTTCTTCCCCTATGCCCTCCTCAGAAGGAGAAGGATTTTAAAAGTGTTATAAAAACTATCTGAGAGTTAAGATGTGCTACCTGATTAAGTGCGCCGAACTATTCAGTTTTTGTTACTAACGATCACATAAATTACAAAAAGCCGACTTCATCTTCATGCTTAACTCCTTAACAACATGTGAACAGTGAGCAGAAAAATAAATCATGTTTCGAACTAATTGTTATGTACACGTTGCAAAATGAATAACTGAGGATTGAAAGGTTCAATTTGGAACGAAGAACAACAGTTTGTTTGACTAAACTAAAGTAGTGTGCCGTTTAAATAACTATTCGAAACTGATGAAACGTCACCAGGTAAAGTATTACATCATACCCAGACACTTAATTTTTAACTTCAAACTCCTAGAAAATATGCACATTTCGAATTTTCGGCGGAAATATCGTTGCTAAGCTATAAATTATACCACAAGACATCCAAGAATGCTACAGAAGGATATGTTAAAAAGTTCTGGACCCTGAACCTAAACTCAATAACATTTTTGTCAATGATATTTCTCCTAAAAAGGCTGTTAAATGAAATTACGAAAACTGCATTCTACTTAGTCGATATTCACTAACCAAATAACAGTGAGATTGATTATGTGGAGAATCTACATGCACTATATCGATGATAATAATATTTTGTTTTCAAAAACAACGCGTTATATGTGGCATACCAATTTCCAAGCAATTACAAAATGTAAAAACTGCTGACATATTTTCTCTAAAACGTTTTTCGGTCAGATAAATATTTTAGAACGTGCACTCGACTCCCGTAGAGGGCTAATATTTTCACATAAAACTGTCACTGTTTCAGACTCCGCGACGGACTATCCAATATTTGGTGCCAGTTATGTTGTTCAGGAAGAAGAATTAAGTTTGATAATTCCATCGTTCACTGTGTATCTTTTCGTATTACATCAAATGCCGACATCTAAGTCATGTTGTGAGTGACTAAGTAAGCACGTTGCAGGTTGTCTTGGAAGAATAGCGATATAAGCATATTACTGGAAACATGAATCTCAGAAGTAGCAAGAGTATAAGAGCAACTCCAGTAACACTGATTAGTCCCCTCAACAATCGAAAAGAGCCGAAACCACACGGAGTGTTCTACTGACAATCATGAGTGGGTTGAAATCATCGTCTGCACCATCAATGTTTGCTAACCTCCTTTCTTATGTGTTGTTAGGTTCATTTAAAATGATTGTAAGGTGTTACTTTAGGTTAAATTCGAGGATCTAAATTTCATATCTTGTATAAAATTATTATATTACTCTTGCAGTCCGCTCCAACCCCAAAGGTGTAGGTTCATACGCATCCCGCCCAGTCCAAGTCCAAAAACGATAATTCTGGGAGGGAACGGTTCTATATTTATTCAAAAGGGTAAATTCAGACAATTACCAAAACAATATTACACCTTCGAGTTTCCAATTACCACAATAGGTTCCGTTGCCGGAAGAATAAGTATTTCCAGTCAGTTACTACTAGAGTATCAAATCCAAATATGGCTGTAGCCATATTAAGTATCAAATTTAAACAACAGATATATAGTTCAGAAGGAAACATGGAAACTTCAATATAAGTACAAGATATAGAAATAATAACAATATACAAATGATTAAATCTCGTAAGAGAATTAGAGTGTTCATAGCCAGGTACAGCTGAACAGTAATGATCGATCCAGTCTGTGATCTATCTATTTTTAGTGAAATATTAAAAGATTTGTATTATTATTACTACTACTACTAATACGGGGAGAGATACATGAAAAAAATAATTAGATACTACTCTGAATTCGATATAGTCTAAACGTGTACAGAGCTAATAAAGTGAAATCAATGTGCGAGTGGGTGCTTGCGTTCAAATTCATCTGTACAGCAGAGGACTGGATTAGGACGCGGTAAAAACTCCTGTACCTCACCTGCCTCCTCTACTATAGAGGAAAAACTTTTCCATATTGGGGCATACCTAATGAGGAAGAAGTGTTCTCAGGTATTTGATAGATAGATACTTTATCTGGGGGGGATATGTATACATGGGCCTTGGAAAAGGACTACACTACAGTAGGAGTATGTGGGCTTGTGCAGAGGCTTAATCTGGAGGATCAGGTTGGACGTTCGTAGATCACTTTTAGGTTTTGCAATTGTTATAGCGACTGCATATCCTATTGATGTAGTTTATGAAAAGCGCGGGAAACTAGACCCTAGATAACGTAGATATTTCGAGCAACAGTGCAAGAATATTTGATCTGTTATTTTTAAAGAGTTTGAGTGGGATTTCATCCGCACAAGAG